GCAGTGAGCTGTGATTGCACCACTGCCCTCCAGCCTCGATGGCAGAGCGAGATCCTGTTCTCCTCCCCTCAAGAAAACAATGTAATGTCAGTAGCCATATTCACAGAATTTAAAATTTGAGCCATCTTTTGCATGTTAGGTTATTAACAAACTGAGTATCTTGACATTGCGAGTACCTGCCGTTGTTTTATTAACCAGAAAGGAGATCTACTAAAGAACTTAAAAAAAAAAAAAAAAAATAGCTTTAAAGACATCAAGATGTCTTTAAAGAGTCATGTGGTCAAATGTTTAATATTTAGTTCTTTTTGGATTTGTCAGAGGACTTAATTGCTTTGTTAGATTGTTCTCTTGTTCTCTTCTTTGGAGGAGTGGCTAGGCCAAAACACACCATTGGTTAGTGGGAGGGTGGGAGGTGGCAGATCAGCCATGTGCCACTGAGGCCACAAAGAAGCCTCACAGGCCATGGTTTCAACTGTAAGTGGTCATTGCATTCTCCTGTTGAAGACTGTGTTTACCAAGCTCGTGCTCTTCATGAAACACTGTTAGATGTTGATTTGAAAACAATAATTTCTTTTATTTTGATTCTGTAGGAACTTAGAAAGATTGTACAATGAATGGTGATTCTCGTGCTGCGGTGGTGACCTCACCACCCCCAACCACAGCCCCTCACAAGGAGAGGTACTTTGACCGAGTGGATGAGAACAACCCAGAATACTTGAGGGAAAGGAACATGGCACCAGACCTTCGCCAGGACTTCAACATGATGGAGCAAAAGAAGAGGGTGTCCATGATTCTACAAAGCCCTGTAAGAAGAGAAATCTTTTCTCTGACCAAATGTTGTCTTTCCTTTTCTGATACAGGTTTTATGCCCTGTTATATGAGTGGCATCGTTCATTGATCTTATCACAGGAAATCATGTATGAGTATATGTATATGGTAGTTGAAAGAATTGAGTTTAGTTCATGTTATCAGACATCATAAATGAAAAATCTTCAGTGTCATAAAGGATAGGAAGTGTTAATTTCTCCTTTTTACTCTTGTGACTTTTCCAGAGGTTTATATATATAGGGACAATTTTTAAATTACAATTTAAAAAATACCTACCTTAGGCTGGATGTGGCAACTCACTCCTGTAATCCCAGCACTTTGGGAGGCCAAGGCAGGTGGATCACTTGAGATCAGGAGTTCAAGACCAGCCTGGCCATCCATCATGGTGAAACCCTGACTCCATTAAAAATACAAAAATCAGCCTGGCGTGGTGGCGCGTGCCTGTAATCCCAGCTACCTGGAAGGCTGAGGCAGGAGAATCGCTTAAACCTAGGAGGTAGAGGTTGCAGTGAGCCAAGATCGTGCCACTGCACTCCAGCCTGGGCAACAGAGCAAAACTCTATCTTAAAAACAAACAAAAAAACTAGCTCAGCCCTGGGCATATAGTAGGTCTTAAGAGTACCTCATTATTGGGCTGGGTTCGGTGGCTCATGCCTGTAGTCCCAGCACTTTAGGAGGCCAAGGCGGGTGGATCACAAGGTCAGGAGGTCGCGACCATCCTGGCTAACATGGTGAAACCCTGTCTCTACTAAAAACACAAAAAATTAGCTGTTACTATTGAGTTACAAGTTATATAAAGTACACAAATCTTAACTATATAGCTTGGTGAATTTTGACATAATTGTTGCTATGTGACTACCCAGATCAAATCTCAGACTTTACATTCTGGTTGAAGGAAATAAACAGTAAATAACAAGCAGAAGAGCAATGCAGAAAGCAGGATGATTAGATTCAGTGTGACTGTGGTCAAAAGGCCACTCTTTGGAGGTATGGTTTAATCTAAACTCAGTGACAGGAAGGAGCCAGTCTTTCAAGAATCAAGAGGGGGCCGGGTTTGGGTGCTTGGCTGGGTATGGTGGCTCATGCCTGTAATCCCAGCATTTTCGGAGGCCAAAGAGTGGAGCACTTGAGCCCAGGAGTTCGAGACCAGCCTGATAAAACCCTATCTCTACAAAAAATATAAAAATTAGCCAGGCGTGGTGATGTGTGCCTGTGGTACCAACTACTCAGGAGGCTGAGGTGGAAGGATCACTCAATCCCAGGAGGTTGAGGCTGCACTGAGTTGTGATCATGCCAGTGTACTCCAGCCTGGGTGACAGAGTGAGACCTTGTCTCAAAACAAGTGTTCCTGGCTGAGGGACTGGCTAACGTGAAATTCCTAGGATAGGGATAGGCTTGATGAGCCTGCAGAGGCAGAAGGCAGCCAATGTGGTTCAACCTGGGAGTGGCAGAGTGAGGTGCAGTGAGGTTGGAGAGAGAGGAGGGAGGAGATCCTGGAAGGCTGTGTATGCTGAGATTGAGAGTTTTCATTGCATTCTGTGTGTGGCAGAGTCACTGGGGGGCTGCAGACAGGGAAAGGACAAATAGAATTTTAAAGAAAATTATTCTGGGTTTGGTTTAGAGAGAAAATTGGCTGGGGCAAGAGAAAAAGCTGTCTTCCAAATGAGAGATCATAGCAGCTTGGGCAAAGGTGGTGTAGTAGAGGTAGGGAGAGGTAGATTTGTATGGCTTTCATTTTGAAGGTAGTATGAATAGGACTGGCTGATGGGTGGGGGAAAGAAGTGAAAGGGAAAAAAAGAATCAGGATAACACCTAGACTTTTGGCTTGAGCGGTTTTCCTACATAAAAACAACAAGAAGCTAAGTAAAAATGACTTGGGATAGTTAAGAAACTGGTAGCACCTAGTGTGTGCCAGGAGTGTTTGTAGGCACTGGGGATGCAGAGGTAAGAGAGTAAAGTCCCTGTCCACAGGTTGTTTAGAACATCGTAAGCGTCAAGGCTGGCCACGGCGGCTCATATCTGCAGTCCCAGTGCTTTGGGAGGCTGAGGTAGGAGGATCACTTGAGCCCAGGAGTTTGAGGCTGCAGTGAGCTATGATTGCACCACTGCGCTCCAGCCTGGGGCTTGAGGTTTTGCCAGATGGTTTGGTAGAGTTGGAGGTGTTAGCAAGAACATGATTACAATGTAGTCATTACAGTGGATCTAAGCCAGTGAGGGAGATCAGAACAGGGGAGGTAAGCCAAGGTGAGAAGGTGTTAGGGTGATGAATGGATGGAAGAAAGGGTGAGCTGGACTCTCGGAGGGGGCAGGGGGTGGTTGGAGGGCACATATTTGGCTTTGGGATTGAAGAGGGGTATGGTTACTAGGAATGAGCAAGTGTAGGGCATGACCATGGAAGTGGGAGACTGAGGTGGGTTGGATGACAGGGTCTTCGGAGGAGAGGAGGCCTGAAATCTGAGAGGTATGAAGGTATGGAGGGTCCCAAGCTGAGGGTATATGGATGTTGAACCAGCAGGAGTTATGATCAAAGTAGCACACACAAGGTCCTTAGGCTAGTGACAGCTGGCTAGAGCCAGATGTTAAGATCCAGATGGTGGCTTAGCTCTGTGCCATGTATCCTTTCTGCATGTACAGGCCTTCTGACATGCTGTTTATGTAAGGGGCCCCAGTACTGTGGTTTTCTTCTTTTTGTGTCTTCCTTACCAAGCTTTAAGTTTCTGGAAGGCAAGGACCGTATTATTTATCTGTATGTATATCCTTAGTGCCTAAAACAGCACCTGATACTTAGTAGTGTGTGTCAAATTGAGCTTTCCCTAGATCTGTATGTGGATTTTAAAACCATTGAAATAGATCCTTTGAATTTTCAGACTGAGGGTTCCTGAAGGCAAGGAACCTATTTAATTTAGCTTTTGCTTCCCCTGTAGCCAGCACTGTCTGTGATGTTCAGGCAACGCCATCTGTATCTCTTACTCTCTATCTTTTTTTTTTTTTTCTTTTGAGATGGAGTCTCATTCTGTCACCTAGGCTGGAGTACAGTGGTGTGCTCTTGGCTCACTGCAGCCTCTACCTCCCGAGTTCAAACAATTCTCCTGCCTCAGCCTCCCGAGTAGCTAGGATTACAGGCATGAGCTTTCATGCCTGGCTAATTTTTGTGTTTTTAGTAGAGACAGTTTCACTATGTTGGCCAGGCTGGTCTCGAACTCCTGACCTCAAATGATCTGCCTGCCTTGGCCTCCCAAAGTGCTGGAATTACAGGCAGGAGCCACCATGCCCAGCCCATCTTCATTTGCTCATAAATCCCTTTCTCTCACTCTCATTGCGTTGTGCATCAATAACAAAGATGGCTAAATAATCATCATGTTTTGTTTTTTTTTCTTTATTTCTTTATTTCTTGCTTGCAGTCAGAGTACCTCTCAGCTTTTCCCTTCCTTATAGCCTCATGGATGACTACAAAATATGATCTGTGACGTTGTTTATCATGGTTTGGTAAATAGAGGGTCCTCAGAGGGTTCTTGACATTCTTTTCTACCCTTAATTAGCCGCAATACATGTCTTTGTTGTGTGCTTTCCCGAGTAGGTACACTTAGACTGTCCCTCGGCAATTTCCTGCAACATGTTTTCAGCTCAAGCAATGACAAACTAGAAGCAAATTTGATGTGGATTAGCATCCAGTGAATTTATATTTTCATATTAGATATCATTTATAATTGTTTGACAAGATATTTATTTCTTCATAGGGTATGTGAAAAAATTATTTTAGTGCAGCTTGGGGAAGTTATAAATTATATCTATTGTTAAATAGATTTCTATTAAAATCACCATCAATTCTATTGGACTTTTTTTGCCTAATTTAGGATTATTTGATAAAGGATGGATGTTTAGGGTTTTTTCCACACTTAAAAGTAATTTGAAAAGTATTTTGAAGAAAGTACTGCAAAGAATAAAATAGAATATGAAAATTACTAATAATTCTATTACTAAAAGGATTACAGTGAACATTTTGACGTATTTACCATTTTCTTTGAGATGAAGTCTTGCTCTGTCACCCAGGCTGGAGTGCAATGGCACAATCTCGGCTCATTGCAACCTCTGCCTCCTGGGTTCAAGCAATTCACCTGTCTCAGCTTCCCAAGTAGCTAGGATTTCAGGCACCTACTACTATGCCTGGCTAATTTTTTGTATTTTTAGTAGATATGGGGTTTCACCATGTTGGCCAGGCTGGTTTCAAACTCCTGAACTCGGGTGATCTACCTGCCTCGGCCTCCCAAAGTGCTGGGATTACAGGTGTGAGCCACTGCACCTGGCTGATGGATTTACTTTCAATCTTTTTCTATGTTTAGGTGTGTATTTGCTCAATAAGAACTGGTTATATTGCTTGATAACTTTGTCACTCAAGAGAAAGTTTATGCCATTTAATTTTTTTTAGCTTTTCATGTTGAATTCCCAGTGTATTTAATCAGCCCTCTGTTGATTGAAATGTAGCATATTTTTCCCTTTTATCAATAGTGGTAGAAAATGAATGTCTTTGAGCACTTTCTTGATGTTTCCATAAAATAGATTCCTAGGAATAGAATTCCTGTTCAGAGTTTTAAGCTTTTATTGTATTACATTACTTTCTAGAAAAGAATGTGCCAGTTTATACTCCCAGCAGTAATGTGTGAGAATATCTGCTTGCCTTTCCAGCACTGGATGAAAACAAAAAATTGGTCTGTGTGATTGCTACCCCAGACCCCCTGCCCAAGGAACAGAAAATAAATAGTATCTCACTGTTTTAATATTTTTTTATTAGGCTTTCTGTGAAGAATTGGAATCAATGATACAGGAGCAATTTAAGAAGGGGAAGAACCCCACAGGCCTTTTGGCATTACAGCAGATTGCAGATTTTATGACCACGAATGTACCAAATGTCTACCCAGCAGCTCCGCAAGGAGGGATGGCTGCCTTAAACATGAGTGAGTAGTTCCTGATTTTTAATACATGCTCTGTAGTTTTCAGGTAAAATTTCCTGAAGATTGCTCACATGAAATAAAAGGGCATGTAATAGTGTAACGTACAGAGTTGAGTATTTGGAAAATTAATATGTTTTCGTTAGTCATAGTAAAAGACAGGCTGTATTCTTGAAATCGTCTTGAATGTCGGCGACTCTTCTTAGCCAGTGAGACTGTTATTTCTGAGGCAGATGACCAACCTCTATGTGGATTAAAATAATCAGTAATAATAGTGCTTGTGGAGTAGCACAACAGTTTTGCCTGGCCAGCATTTCTTCCCTACCATTCCTCACTGCTGCTTCCCAACTAGTGAGAAAGAGAAACTCCAAAAGAAAAGCCAGAGGAAAAATGTTGGATGGGTGAATGTGAGCAAAGAATGGTCAGCTGGGCAAGAATTGAGCTTTGCTATGACAGTTGAGTTTGTAAATGTTAACATGATGAGGTGGAGCCCAGGATGACTCAGGCATCAACTAATCTGACCCATATTGTATCTTGGATCAGTCTCTGATGGGTCCGGTTGGATAGTCAAATCTGATTGCCCAAAATAAGATACTGGTTTTTGTTACATCTGCTGACATTTGCTATTTACCTGTCTGCTCTGTGGGATTCTTAGAAGTTGAATAGCATTCACCTGATCTAATTAATGTCTATAGAATATTAAGAATCACATTTAATCCATAGCTCAAACCTCCACCCTGAAATCACATGGCCACCACCAGTAAAGGTTTCATACGTTTTGTTGAGATTCTCTTGGGGTGGCTGGCAAAATATTAGGAAAGTTATAAATTAGTCTCAAACCTTTTGGAAGGCCAAAAGGTTTTGTTGGGACAGGCTGAAGGCAGTGGGTCCATTACATTAGGGAAAAGATAGGAACGATAAGAGGCTTTCCCAGTTAAGTCTGTTTACCCCACATCCCTTTGTCTCTACTCTGTTTACTCATGTAAACTTTGTGCTGAATGGTCCTCTCAGGGGGAAATCAAAGGGGAATTACTCGTTAACAGTGTTTACTCTGGGCCCTGAAACCTAAAGCTTTTATCATTTGCAAAACCACTCTTTTAACCATGTTAATTATCCACAAGCATATTAACTTAAAACCTCTGTTATGAAAACTGTACTGAAAAAATGTGAGAATGGAACAGGGGGTCTTGGTTGATTGGCTGCAGTCACCCTCTAAAAGCAGCCAACAACCATCCCTAGCCCACCTGAATCACTGAAATAGGTGTGAGAGTGCATTTATTCATCCGTAGTTAAGTCAGGGTCTGCAGAACAAAACTCTGCAGGTGGTAATCAGTGTCTCAGGTGTATCATCTCTCCTGGTTAAACCCCCATTCCTGGGAGTTACTCTTTAACTAAAAAAAAAGTTACTAATTGTACTCATAATTGTCTTATGTTATTTGTTAATCCTAAAATGCAAAGCCAGAATAAAAGCAAAAACCACCCTGCCTAACAAACCCATGGCTAAATGCATCAGTGGCTGGCAAACAACAAAGGCTAATGTTGTTAAAAGTGGATTCTTTTTTTTTTTTTTTTTTTTTTTTTTTTTGAGACAGTGTCTCAGTCTGTCTCCCAGGCTGGAGTGTAGTGGCTTGATCTTGGCTCCCTGCAAACCTCCACCTCTCAGGTTCAAGCTGTTCTCATGCCTTAGCATCCTGAGTAGCTGAGATTACAGGCACACGCCACCACACCTGGCTAATTTTTGTGTTTTTAGTAGAGGTGGGTTTCACCATGTTGGCCAGGCTGAACTCAAACTCCTGACTTCAAGTGATCCACTTGCCTCAGCCTCCCTAAGTGTTGGGATTACGGACATGAGCCACCACACCTGGCCCATTTCTTCTGTATTAGCAAGAATATTCTGTAAGGAGAAACTTCCCTTCAGTTCTTTTGGTTACCTGGTGGTACAGTTTTTGTAGGAAAGGCAGGATCCCTTTCCGAAATAATAAGTTGGTTTCCAGTCATCCTTTAGTGATGAACAATTAGTTTTTTTGGTATCATTTGAATTTATGATTTAAACATAGTCGGTGTGTTTCACATCATTGCAGTTATTATCCGGATTTGTTGAGAGCTTTCCTTCTGAATATTGAATTTTGTGAAATGCTTCTTACCCGTTTGTTAAAATAATCACCTAGTTTTTCTTCTTTAGTTTGATATGGTGAATTATGTTTATTGGATTTTGTTTTGTTTCGTATATTTATTTATTTAGAGATAAGGTCTTGCTCTTTCACCCATGCTGGAGTACAGTAGCATAGTCACAGCTCACTACAACCTTGAAGTCCTGGGCTTAAGGGATCCTCCACACCTGGCTAATCTTCCCTCCCCTCCCCTCCCCTCCCCTCCCCTCCCCTCCCTCTCTCCCTCCCTCTCCCTCCCTCTCCCTCCCTCTCTCTCCCTCTCCTTCCTTCTCCCTCCCTCTCCCTCCCTCCCTCTCTCT